AAATCTATTCAGTAGCATAGAGTTTATAATCCCTAAATTAGTAGTAATACAAGTACTACTATTTCAAATCTATTTAGGAATATATTATTTCTAACAGTAACTTGTGTGAAAATAAAAAAGATTTTGTGGACCCATACCAAGATTTTATAATCACTTCTATGTATTACTACTTCAAATACTTTTTAATAAGGAAGGTCCGCTCTGATCCAGTGGTATTGGATTCTGGATTAGGATTGTTCACCTCTGGTGAGTTGTACGTTCGAACCCCACGGAACTCCTTTTCCCCCTCTCCCAATTAACCCTATAAATAATTACAAATTGTCCAAAAAAAAAAAAAAACCTCTTTGATAAGATTAAGTGGGGCTCACATCAGCCTCATAACGTCTTTTCAATCCTAATAAGACATGAGTTGTCCTAATAGGATATCCCGCCATTCCTATAAATATCCACACGCTACAGAGTAGATATGTTGATTATATATCTACAACTCCAGTTCACAAACATTGCCCCAGCCCAAATCCCTTATTAAAGCTCTTGGATTAACTCATGGAAGTTCTAAATAATTCACCTTCATGCAGAAACCTAATCACCATTCTCAGTATTGATGGTGGTGTGGAATTCGGGGGATCATCCTGGAGTCATCCTTACTTTTCTAGAGTCTGAACTTCAGGTAATTATTAAAACTGAACAATTGTTATAATTTCTTCATTCTCAACTTTTACATTCAATTGTAGTACTTGTCCAATTATTATATGTTATTATCTTTTTTTTGCTCATATTGCAACAAGAATGAACAATTCAAACTGATTTTTGTAATCTTGAGTTCAGAAATTGGATGGCGAAGAAGTGAGAATAGCAGATTATTTTGATGTGATTGCCGGGACTAGCATTGGCGGCCTGGTGATAGCCATGCTAACTGCTCCTAATGAAAAAAACCGCCCCCTGTTTCCTGCCAAAGACATAAAAGACTTCTACCTCACCCACTGCCCTAACTTCTATTGTGATGGAGACCTACAATCTTATCTCACAAGATTTCTGTAGCTTTAGTTGCATAATTGTCTTAATATACCTCCTTTTTCAGGTTAAAAACATGTTAGTCATTTTATAACTATTGTGGTGGCATCTGCCCATTCATGAGTGTGCAAGATGAAGGAGACTCAAGGTTTGACCACAAAAACACCACCCTTATGTTTTATTTTGTTTTATAAAAATATACTAACATCATCTTCCAAATGAAAAGAATCAAAATTATCTATATATTTTTCTCACTTAGATATACTCTTTTTTAGTGGCTTTATTCGAAGATGATTTGTTGGGAGAAAAGCAATGCTAAATACTGAGGCTGCAGCTAGAGGCATTAACCCTTATGATTTTATGTTTTTATTCTTGAAGTTTATCTAGGTTCTTTTGCCTTGTGTGCTTTAGCTTTTAGACCTCTTATATATCGAGAGTACTAGCATAAAATTAAAAACAACAAATGATTAATTGTGTTTCATTTTCTATTATAGGAATCAGTTAACTATTCAGGGTTAAACTAATATAATGGACATCACTATTTAGTCTTGACAGTGTTTTATGAGTCTGTAGTTCATATGCCTTATTTAATGTGAAAATGTGTTTTAGGAAATATTGAAGACATGAGAATTTTATGTATGAGCTACATTGTATTGGATACTCAATTAAGTGATTTGATTGTGTGTGATTGAAAGTTCAAACTTTGACCTTGAATGTGCAGGGACTTTATTTTGGTTATTATTGTCTACTCAATTGAGCCATTCTTCCTATCTCATTCTTTCATCTCTTGCTTTTCTTTCTTTATTTCTTTCTTTCTTTTTTTTTTTTAACAAAACTAGAAAGATAGAAATCCATGCAATTTGAAAGCCTTGCATAAAATTCTCTATTTTTTGTCAGAATCTATGATTTTTTTTATTTTTGTGAAACCTATAGAACTAAAGCATATGTTATATTATTAAAAACTTTACAAACTCTAATACTAATGTGTTCATTTAAAATTGGTTGATTTAATGTTGGGCCATTCAAAGTTGGACCCGACACTATGCCCTGGAATATGGGTTGTCCAACTAAATAATTAATGTAGCAATAACAACATCCTCCAATGTAGCAACAACAACATACTCCATATATAACTCACTGATCATCTTGATTGCCATTGAACATCTTCTTGAATCGTGCCACCTTCAACGTTATAACCACAAGTATCCAGTGATGAACATCATCCATCCACTGAAAATAAGCATATCTCCAATTTTTTATAAAAATCAAAGTTCCCACAACTCCCCAGAATCCAGTTGCAAAGCCTAACATCACAACAATGTAAAACCACATTCTTTTAAGTGCACCTTCATCATTGCCCTTGAAGTTGGAGATTGTCGAAGGCAATGTATCATTTGAGCATTTCTTCAAGAGTAAAGCTCCACAGAGTTGAGGATTGCCAGCATACATGGTTGGATCTTCGAGTGTTTGGAGTTGATAGCCTGTTGGAATTGGCCCTGACAAGTTGTTGTAGGACAAGTTGAGGTAGCTTAACTTGGTTAAACTTGACATACTGTTCGGGATCATTCCTGAGAGGCTATTCTTGGAGAAATCAAGAGATTCCAAATTCTCCATTTGTCCAATTTTCTCAGGGATCTTTCCTGAGAGATGATTCCAAGACAGATTCAAATTGTGCAAATCCTTAAGGAAAATTAGCTCCTCTGGTATGGATCCTATTAGATTGTTACTTGAAAGATCTATACTAATCTCAAGTACCAGAGTTGTTTTTATATACTTAAGGTATCTCCCTTTCACAACCTCCATCACAGGTGCCTGATTCCAATACTCAAAGTATCTCGATAGCAAAACCTCCGTGAAAAATGCCTCATCCCAATATTCATTACCCATGTCATGACTCAATTGTAGTGTTGCGTTCACCATAATCGAAAACTTTCCAAAACAAGGAGGAATCCTTCCTGTCAGATTGTTATCTGCAAGATCTAGAATTTGCAATTGAGAGAGAGAGCATAGTTTCAAGGGAATATCACCGGAAACCAAATTTTTTCGTAGTCGAAAAATCTTTAAAGAGTGGTTGCCAATTTCGCCCCCTACAATGCTTGTTAAATTTCCAGAAAATTTATTTTCACCCAAATCCAAAACAACTAAAGAAGTGAAGTGTTTCAAGGCCACATGCAGTCCCTTGTGGAGACTATTGTTGTTCAAGTGTAGTACACTTAAAGAAGAAAGACGCGCCATTGTGCTTGGAAATAAACCCGAGAGATTGTTAGAAGATAGATCAATAAAATTCAATGATTGATCATTTCTCCAACAATTAGGAATACTTCCGGATAACATATTGTTTGAAAGATCAAGTGCTCCCAAATATTTTAAATTGCATAGTGACTTTGGAACTGAACCGTTCATGAAGTTATTTGCAAGATATAATCCCTGCAACATTGGTGTCATATGACCTATGTTTTCTGGAAGAGGACCTGAGATGCTAGCATTAGAGAGATCAACCATGAGTATTGTCTTTTGTAATTGAAGCCATTTAGGAAATCCTGTTCCAAATTGATTGCCAGAAAGATCTATACTTTCTAACTTAGAAAGTTGCCCAATGCTATCTGGAATACTTCCACTCAATTGATTATGAGCAAGATATATCCTCTCTAACTTAGAAAGTTGCCCAATGCTATCTGGAATACTCCCACTCAATTGATTGTGAGAAAGATATATGCTCTCTAAATTAGAAAGTTGCTTGATGCTATCTGGAATACTCCCATTCAGTTGATTCTCAAAAAGATTTATGCTCTCTAACTTAGAAAGTTGCCAGATGCTGTTTGGAAGACTCCCACTCAATTGATTATGAAAAAGATGTATGCTCTCTAACTTAGAAAGTTGCCCAATCCTATCTGGAATACTTCCAGTCAATTGATTTAGAGAAAGATCTATGCTCTCTAACTTAGAAAGTTGCCCGATCCTATCTGGAATACTCCCAATCAATTGATTGTGAGAAAGATCTATGCTCTCTAACTTAGACAGTTGCCCAATGCTATTTGGAATACTCCCAGTCAATTGATTGTGAGAAAGATCTATGCTCTCTAACTTAGAAAGTTGCCCGATGCTATCTGGAATACTCCCTGTCAATTGATTATCAGAAAGATCTATGCTCTCTAACTTAGAAAGTTGCCCGATCCTATCTGAAATACTCCCAGTCAATTGATTCTCAGAAAGATCTATGCTCTCTAACTTAGAAAGTTGCCCGATCCTATCTAGAATACTCCCAGTCAATTGATTGTCAGAAAAATCTATACTCTCTAACTTAGAAAGTTGCCCGATGCTATCTGAAATACTCCCAGTCAATTGATTGTGAGAAAGATCTATGCTCTTTAACTTAGAAAGTTGCCTGATGATATCTGGAATACTCCCATTCAATTGATTCTTAAAAAGATCTATACTCTCTAACTTAGAAAGTTGCCCAATGGTATCTAGAATATTCCCACTCAATTCATTGTAAGAAAGATAAAGAAATATCAAGGAAGTTATGTTTTGGAGAAATATAGGTATTGGACCTTGAAAAAAGTTAGTTGAAAGATCTAAGTGTTGAATATTGCCAAGCAATGTAAAATTAAGGGGATGGTTGCGAGATGGCAAGTGACAATTTTTGAGACTACAGCCTGACAGACTTAACCATGATAGCGAAGGAATCATGCCAAGTACTTGAAACAAGTTTGATGATGTAAGGCTTAGATTTACTCCACTCATATCAAGAAATGTCAATGAAGTCATGTTTTGGAGAAAAATAGGTATTGGACCATGAAAAGAGTTATGTGAAATATCAAAGTGTTGAATATTTCCAAGCAATGTAAAATTAAGATGGTTGTGAGATGGTAGGTGAGAATTTTTTAGACTACAATCTGACAGACTCAACCATGATAATGAAGAAAGCATGTCAAGTACCTGGAACAAGTTTGATGAGGCATGGCTTAGATTTACTCCCTTCATATCAAGTTGTTGCAAAGAGGAGAGACGAGAAATCCACTGAATGTCACCATCAACCTTCAATCTCCCATAATAATACTGAGAAAGATCGAGAACCTGAAGCCTTGTAAGATTTCCAAGTTCACCAGGAATTCTTCCTCTAAACTGCACATAAGAGAGATTTAGGTACCTCAACTGCTTCATCAAGCCAAAGGAGGGTGGAATAAGATTACCACCGAAATTATTGTTGCTCAAGTCCAGGTGTTCCAAGTATCTCAGCTTGAGCAAACTTGAAACAACCTCCTTTGCATCATCAATCAAGTACAATTGAGGTTGAGGTTGTTGATCATCAATAAAGTACCAATAAGGTTGATCAAGTATTGATCCCCTAAGTTGAAGCGAGACAACATATCCGCTGTTTTTGTCACAGCCTACTCCTATCCATTCACAACAGTTATTGCCTTTCCAAGAAGACAACATATGCGATGGATCATGGAAACAAAGTTTGAACTTCAAGAGGGCATCTCTCTCCCTTTCTATACAGCTAAAGCTCGTGTTCCGACCAGAGCAACACTCTGCAGCTTCGAATAACAATACAGCAACTAGAACAAGCATAGCACGGAAAGTTTCCCTCATAATGATGGTTTCAATATTGTATGGAAGATGAGATGTGATATTTAATTTTGCTTCTACGTTAATATATAGTCCCATGGACAGGCAAATAAACACCGTTCCTCGAAGTTAATTACACTAAAGATAAAGATTCCGAGTAAGTAATTTAAACTCGAGCGCGTTCAACAAGACTTGGATGTTCTTTTGGTCCTTGTTGCTTTAAAGTCAATTCAATTAGTGCTTTCATTGTCCTTTTGCCCCACCATAATAATAATACAGCTTTTACAAGTTTTGTGCTACTGTTGTGCAACGTCAAGACTGGGAAAGTTTGAAAAATGGCTTTCAATTCTTAGATATAACTATGGTTCGTGAAAATTTCTTCTCTTTTTACCAATCATGGAAATTTTTGGTCATCATGATTATGGTTTAAATATTGTGTGGAAGATTAGATATTTAGATGATTTTAATTTTTTTTTTTTTTTTGATAACGGATGTTAGATATTTAAATGATTTTATTTTATTTTTTTGATAACGGATGATTTTATTTTTATTTCTTTTGATGCACAGATGATTTTTAATTTTGGTTGCACATTCATATTATAATGGAAAATCTTAAGCTCTTGAACTTACCCTATTCTTCGACACGAGCCCCTAAACTATCTTTTTAGACTTATAAGCCCTTAACTCTTCTATTTATGCCAAATGGAAACCCTTTGTTCATGGTTCCGCTAGTTCCCGTAAAAAAATCTAATCACAGCGGTCAAAGAAAAAGGTTAAATTGTAGTTTAGTCAATATACTTTCGTATTTAACAAAAATTAGTTCCTTCATTTTTAACTAAATTTTCTAAAAAAATTAAAACAAGAAATAAAAAGAACAAATAATCCTATGATATTAAAAGAAAAAAAGTCCTCAACATGGTCTCCATGTCATAAGTCTCGATAAATCTGTTCAACATCATAATGGAATGAATAGATTGCATCCCAAAATCAACGTAAAAAAAAAAATAAAAGACTAGCAAAATAAATTGTTGTTATCCAACTTCTTGTTCTCAAAAAATTTAAAGATCAGTATATATATATATATATAATTAATGGTAGCTCTTGAAAGACTTAATTTAATAAACCGTTTAGTAATTTTTATATTTTTTGTTTTAAAAATTTTAGAAAAACTTGTTTAAGTGTAGGGATTAATTTTAGGGATATGCTATGTTTACACAATGAACCCATACACCTCTCTACACAAGCAGTTCAGTGAAAAAAAAAACATAAAATGGGGATAAGGCTTATTCTATGCTTGTCTGAAAGAAATCTATTGGTTAGATCTGGCATAGTGTCATAGAAGTAAATGCTCCTCAAGTGAACCAAAGGCTCTTCTTTGCCTTCATTCCAGTTGAATGCAAGTCTTGAAGGTCACCTTGAAGGGAATTTGAAGGTCACCATGGCAAAAATCAACCCAATTGAGTGAACCCAAGCTCCATCGATGACCAATCATGTCCACCTCTGTTCAGCTCCCATCAAAGAAGTGCGTCGATGACCCTTTAAAGAGCTTGCACTCGATTTGCCCACCCCTATCAATTAAGGACGTCGCCTATCTACTACAATCATAGTTTTTGGGAGTCCAATTGAGTGAACCCCAGCCCCATCGACAGCATCCTGGAATTTCAGAGACTAAGAATGATGACCAACTAGAAATTTATAATAGTTTATTAATGTCTTTAAAATTTTCAATGGTATTGTGACAAAGGGTGGGGAAGTAGAGGAGAAGAAAAAAATAAGTGGGGATTTTGAGTTCATCAATAACATCAATGGCGGCATGATTAAAGTAATTTAAAATAAATGTTTTGATTTGGGATGTCTCAAAAATGTTGCTAAGGGCATGACAAGATTGGGACTATGCGTTCCAAGCAGATGCTAACTCTCAACCAGATTTGCTTCTCCCTTGTCACTATTTTCCAACAATTCCATGAAATATGCAGAGGTAGAGGGGATGGTGATATCGTCGTATCTATTCCACAGCAAGAATTCTTCTTGTAGTCTGTTTGGAAACAGGAATACACTATGGCTAAATAGATGGATGTTGGCTTAGGCTAAAACCAACTTTTAGCCCCTCACCTTACAAAATTGGTAGGTTTTAGCCCCTAACCTTATAATATGACACTTTTAACCCTTTATTTTACAAAGTTGGTAGGTTTTAACCCCCACCTTATAAAGTTGGTAGGTTTTAGCCTCTCACCTTATATTATGAAACTTTTAATCCTTTATCTGTACAAATTAAAGAAAATAACCCTTATTTAACAACAGGTAATATAATATTTTGTTAGTTCTGTTAGTGACTGTCAGTTCTGTTAGCTAACTGTTAGTTGACTGTTAGCATTCGTTAGTAGACTGTTAGCATTCGTTAGTATTTCGTTAATAGAATTAAAAAATAAAATTGAATTTAAATTTCATGTTTTTTATAACGGAATACTAACGGATGTTAATAGTTGACTAACAGAACTAATAGAATGTTATAACCTAAAGTTAAGTGAGGACTATTTTCTTTAATTCGTATCGGTGAGGGACTAAAAATATCACAATATAAGGTAAGGGGTTAAAACCTATCAACTTTGTAAGGTAAGGGGCTAAATTTTACCAACTTTGTAAGATAAAGGACTAAAACTGTTATATTATAAGGTGATGAACTAAAACTTACCAATTTTATAAGGTGAGGGGCTAAATATTGGTTTTTACCGTTGGCTTAAGTATTTCTGCCTCTTATCCCAAACCGATCAAAAGTGAAATTTAAAATAGGATGAGCCCCGCCGGGTGTTGAGCCGGGTGTTGAACCAGCGGGTGCACATATCAGGATCCTTAATTTTATTTAAAATTTGAAAAGTATATGCACTAAACTATGATTTAACTATTTCCTTTGACTGCCACGATCAGATTTTTAAACGAGTAGCATCGAAAGCGTTAACAAAGGGTTAATTTGCTTATATCCCAAAGTTAAGGGGCTTGTAATGATAAAAAAATAGTTTAGGGGTTTTATGTGCGAAAATGGGTTAGTTTGGCGGCTTATGTAGTAGTTTGTGAATGCAATACTTGAGTTTTTATTTTTTTTTTTATCTTTTTATTATCTAAAAATATATAAAAAATTAATTAAAAAATATATAATATTAATATTTACAAGCTGGCCATTGAAAAAATTAAAAGGAAATTTTGAGACCGAAATTTGAAACTAATGATATAGTATAAACTATATTATTAAGTAAATTAAAAAATATAATATTACATGCAAACCCTAATATCATAAAAAGAATCAATTATTAAATAATATAAAATCTATTTATTAATATTTTAGATGACGTAACTTTTATTTTAGTCTTATTTATCATTATTCTAAAACTAATTGTCCCATTAAGGCACCGCAAAAGAAATCAATATTATTTCATTTTTACTTTAAAAATAAATTAGTCTTTCTCCAGAAAAATTTATTGAAACAAGGTAATTTTTGGACTTTTTTTTCTAATTTTTAAAAAATCCAACTAAGAAATACTTTTCCTAACAAATTATATATATATATTTAAAATATTAAAAACTAAAAAACATAGTACTCTCATCCCAATATTATAGTATTTATTTTTTATATTTTAAAGGAGGGGTAGTGATATAGAGATAAATATTTGGCGTAATTTTTTGTATAACTTTTATATGTCATTAAATGAATAAATGTATTTAATATTATGGTCCAAATGAATAAAAAAAATAAATTATTTAAATAACACATAAAATTATACTAGAAGATGATATAAAATGGTTGTCCTAAAATCAGTTTTCGTTAAAAAAGAAGAATATTCTTTCCTACTTTGATCTTATCGTGATCTTTAATTTTAATTATTCATTTTATTATAAATTTTTTTGTTTTTATTTATTTTTAAAAATAATATAAATAAAAAATAAAGTAGCTTTAAATTTTAATATAAAAATAAAATTAAAAAATAATTATTTTAAAATAAAAAAAGTACTACAACTACAAATAAACATATCTTAAGATATGTTGTGCCCCATAGATGGGAGAAAGGCTTTTTGCTGAAATTACATAAAAAACTCAGTATAGAAATTATGTGATTAGTAATTAATTCAGTCTATTTTTCTCTTTCTTTTTTGATCACTCGAATCCTAGTGGTTAATGCCAAGACTGGAAGTCTTTATGGTTTTTTACTCTTTAGTATTACCTCCACCTCAAATTAATTGTTTGTAAAATTTTTATAGGTAATTGTAAGTAATATTTTTATGTAATTTATAACTTGTAATTATTATTTTTTTTACTTTGTACTTAATTTTTTTGGAATGATTTTGTTTTAAAAAAGAATTTCATTCACTGTTCATATATCATGCAAAAAGGTTATTTAAAATTACAGACAAAAAGTCTATAAGACAGTTAAATTGAGTCGGGGTAGAAGCATACTTTCCATTCAGGCAAAAAATGAAAAATATAGAAAAAAAAATGGAGCGGTCTTTCCTTGCAGGTATGGGTGAGCTTTTTTAGATATAAGTCAAGTATGAGATATATTTATTATTTAATTTAAAAAATATTAAGTATAAATTTTAGGTTTTGTATTTATCTAAATATTTAAAGATTTATACTTAATAACTAAGTCAACAAGTACCAAGTAATTTATATATATGTATATATATTTATGTACTTATCTTTGGAAAAGAAGAGATAAAGTAGAGGTCTTATACAAGTTGCTATTGTTTTGTATGCTATGTATTGTTTTGCTATTAGTTATATAAATTACTATTATTACTTGTGATTTATTTTACTTACAA